GCGCAGGCGCTTCTAACTCTTTGTGGGGGGAAGCTGCATTAACAGCTAACCACGTCCTCAACAGGGTACCTCACAAAGGTTATGAAAAAACTCCATATGAGCTATGGAAAGGTTACGCACCCAATCTAAAATACTTCAAAGTGTGGGGGTGCCTGGCCAAGGTAGGTCTTCCTTACTTCAAGAAACCTAATCTTGGCCCTAAAACCTCAGATGCAATATTTGTGGGGTATGCAGAAAATAGCGCTGCATATAGATTTATGTACCTAGACGGCCACTCTATGTGCGAGGCACGAGAGGCCGAGTTCTTCGAACACATATTCCCACTAAAACGTGGATCAAATACCTATGAAAAAGTCTCGTCCTCACTACCTTCAACTTCTGAAACAGAACTTGAGTCAGAAGAACCTAGAAGGAGTAAGAGAAAAAGGACCGAGACAAGTTTTGGGCCTGATTTCATTACGTACATTTCTGAAGTAAATGACATTAATGAAATTTCTGATCAGTTTGTGTGTCAGTTAATTCTAGAGGAGGAACCAAAATCCTTTGAGGCAGTTATGCGCTCAGTCGATGCGGTCTTCTGGAAAGAAGCAATACAAAGTGAGCTAGATTCAATCAAATCTAATCACACTTGGGAGGTTGTAGACCTACCGAAAGGAGCCAAACCTATTGGCTGTAAGTGGATCTTCAAAAGGAAGATGAGACCCGACGGGTCGATTAAAAGGTACAAAGCAAGACTTGTGGCTAAGAGATATAAACAGAAGTTTGGTGAAGACTACTTCTGCACCTATTCTCCTGTAACGAAAATAGCCACAATACGCATATTGTTTGCTCTAGCGTCCTCTCACAAGTGGCTGGTCCATCAAATGGATGTAAAAACAGCTTTCCTAAATGGAGACCTGGAAGAAGAAATTTACATGTCTCAACCTCCTGGATGCGCCAACCCCGGGCAAGAAGGGAAGGTATGTAGACTAGTAAAATCCCTATATGGGTTAAAGCAAGCTCCCAAACAGTGGTACGAGAAGTTCCACAAAACACTGTTAGATCTGGGATACACGGTAAACCGATCAGATGCTTGTTTGTACTCAAAAGAGATTGAGTCTAGCATTGTCTTGATTTGCATTTATGTAGATGATATGCTAATCTTTAGCTCGAATATAAATGCAATAAAAGAGACAAAGAGGTCTCTGTGTGACAAGTTTGATATGAAAGATATGGGCGAAGCTGATGTGATACTTGGAGTGAAAGTCATCAAAGAGAAAGATGGCTACAAGTTATCACAGGGTCACTACACAGAGAAACTGCTAAAGAAGTTTAACAGTTTTGAAGTGAACCCTGCTCAAACTCCATATGACCCAAGTGCAAAACTCTCGAAGAACACAGAGGCAAGTGTGTCTCAAGAGGAATATGCGAAAATAATCGGGAGTCTGATGTTCTTAATGAACTATACCAGACCTGATATTGCACTTGCGGTAAATCGACTAAGTCGATACACTCATAATCCCAGCGATACCCATTGGAATGCACTAAAGAGGGTGTTACGCTATCTAAAGGGAACGATGAACTGGGGATTGCACTTTTCTAGCTTCCCAGCGTCCCTAGAGGGGTATTGCGATGCGAATTGGGTGAATGATAGTGATGAGGTGAGCTCCACCAGCGGGTATGTTTTTACCATGGGAGGAGCAGCAGTATCGTGGAAGTCCACGAAACAGGCATGCATAGCCAGATCAACGATGGAAGCTGAATTTATAGCTCTTGATCTAGCAGGGCAAGAGGCTGAGTGGCTTAGAAACCTACTGGCAGACGTGCCTTTGTGGGGTCTTCTACGCCGTCAGTGCCCATACATTGTGACTCACAAGCTGCGATATGCGTAGCCAAAAATAGTGCCTATAATGGTAAGAGGAGACACATAAGAGTCAGACATGAGTCTGTGAGACAACTAATTCTAAGTGGCGTACTTTCACTAGAATATGTGAAATCCGAAAAGAACATTGCAGATCCTCTCACGAAGGGGCTAAACAAAAGAACCATCCTCGAAACATCGAGGGAGATGGGCTTAATAGCGATACAGTGAGCAAACATCGAGGTTATATAAACCTGGAAGCTAAACACACCTATTCAGAGATAGGTCTCAGGTCAAAGAGTTGACCTTACGAGAAAGACCAAGTTATATATTCTTACAGGGTGATTGCTGGTGTGTGAACTGAGTTCAAAACTAACTCTTCTTTCGATAGTTCAAGATCTAATTCACTATCAAAGGAGAAAGTTACTCAAGTCACTACGTGTCAGTTCAAGGTACAACCACTGACATTAAGATCAGCACTCATGCCAGAAATTCCGTCTTCTTCTTGCCACCTTGAATGTGTGGGGGATTGTTGGAGATTACATTCAAGATGGTGGTTTAAAGTGTGTAGATGGAAGACACTCTTGTCCCACATTGGAAGGATAAGGGACTAATTCCCACTTTTTTAATACCAACCCATTTGGAAGGCTTAAACTATTGTAGAGAGAGAAGGAAAGGGAACCCCACACGCGCGCGCCGCCGCCGCCGCCCGCCCGGCACGGCTCTGTTCGCACGCGCGTCGCGGTGGGGTGGAGTCAACGTTTTACTCGGGCTTTATTTTAATTCCGAGTTTTTTCCCTTTTAGAGGTAGATTTCATGTAGAAATCTACCATCCACACATTAAGTTGTGGTGGAACAAGTCTTCCTATTCTTGTGGGCATTTTCACCACAATTCTTCCTAAAATCGTGGAGCATGAATGGCTGAGAGGGGAGGGGCGGGTATTTTCAATACTATAAATACCCTGCTTCTCCTCAGTTCTATTGACTCATCAAATTCTCTTCTTCTCTTCTGCAATCCTGAGCTTCGGTGTTAACTGGTCGAAAGCAACCGGTAAGACTACAACCGTCTCCGGGAAATTTTTGCTTTTAAGGTAGTGTCTTGCACACATCACCGATCCCTTCAGGATTCATCCATTCTCAGCCTATAAAAAACAGTAGCCCCAGGTCTACGACATATTCTATCCGAATTTTCCCCAACATTTTACACCAACAGTGGCCGACACATGAGGGCTTTGGGGAGAGCATAAGTTCTTTCTTATCTTTTTTTTTTTCTCCTACTGGAGAAAGGGACTATTGCCTTTTTGGTCCGAAAGTAGTTCTATGGCAATGGAATGGTGGGAGTTGGTGATGGATGAGTATTAGGTTGGAAATCTAAGGAGTAATGGTGTTTTGAAGGTTGGACAAGGCCTTATTGGTGATGGATCTACGAATTTTTATATGTGATTAAGGGGTTTCAGAAGTGAACTTAGCGAGTAATAGAGGAGTTTTACAGCAATAGTGGTTGACACATGAAACAATGGAGATGACTATAAACTTTAGAGACAGAGCTAGTCCCACCCCCCCCCCCCCCCCTCTCCCGGTACTAGGAGGGCTTTTGAGAGGGCAGCAACTCGTTCTTATAAAGTAGTTTTGTGGCAATGGTAATGTTTGGAATTGGTGATAGATGAGTATTAGGTGGGGGATCTAAGGAGTAATGATGTGTTAAAGGTTGGATAAGGCTTTGCTGGTGATGAATCTACAAGTTCTTGTTTGTGATTAAGGGGTTTCAAAAGTGAATTTAGATGGTTGTGGAGGAGTTTTACACCAATAGTGGTTGACACATGAAACAATAGTAACTACAAACTTTAGAAGTCCCTTGAAGTAACTGAAGCAGCCAAACAAAAGTGTTAGTTTTCTATTGGGGAAACGGCGCTTTTGGCCCCTCAATTGTTTTCGTTTTGGAAATTTAGCCCCTCTCAATTAATTTGAGCAAACTTAACCCTTTAATTGTTCATAATGTAGCACATTTGGTCCCTCATGTTATATAATTAGAATTATTTTTAATAATTTATATAATTTATTCATTCAAAATTAAAAATATTTCTATAATAAATAAATACATAAATTAAAAAATCAAAAATTCAAAAATTCAAAAAAAAAAAAAAAAAAAAAGAAGAAGAACTGCCGCCGCCGACTGTTCTTCTTCTTCTTCTTCTTCTTCTTCTTCTTCTTTTTTTTTTTTAAAAATTTTTTTTTAATTTTTTTTTAATTTTTAAATTTTTTTAATTTATGTATTTATTTATTATAAAAATATTTTAAATTTTGAATGAACAAATTATATAAATTATTAAAAATAATTCTAATTATATAACATGAGGGACCAAATGTGCTACATTTTGAACAATTAAAGGGTTAAGTTTGCTCAAATCAATTAAGAGAGGCTAAATTTCCAAAACTAAAACAATTGAGGGGCCAAAAGCGCCGTTTCCCCTTTTCTATTTTAGTATAATTTTATTTTGTATTTTTGGTTTTTATTTTTATTTTTTATTTTTTATTTTTATTTTTATGGATTTTAAAGTTGTTGGACCTTTTTCTATCCCTTTAATTGTGTTGTGCTTTTAATTATGTTTGAAACATTATTATTAATGCATCCTTATATAGTAAACAAATCTATTATTTGCAATGTATTCTTTCAGAGTTAACAAATTTATTATATGCTTAACTCAAATGGCAAATGAATTACTAATACAATTACTAAAAAAATCTATTATTTGCAATGTTTGCTTTCACGGTTAACAAATATATTATATGCTTAACTCAAACGACAAATGAATTGCTAATACAATTACTAAATTAGAAGCTTGACGTGACTCAATATGTATCCTAATTCTAAAATGGCTCTATGGTCAAGTCCTATCCCAATTCTAAAATTACTATATGGTCAAGTCTTATCCCAATTCTAAAATGGCTATATGGTCAAGTCCTAAATGCATTAGGGTCCATAATCTCACCTATAGGCCAACGATGGATCATTTCATAATAAACCATTCTTCTACCTTTTGCATCCCTTTCTTAGTTTTTCCCCTTTTAATCTTGTCTATCTTAATTTCATGTTCTTTATACTTTATGAAGCTAAAACTTCAAAATTTAGAAAACCTTAAGCATACCACACTATTGGATAGAGAAGAAATAAAAACAACAATTTTGCCTCTTAAAACCCGAATTCATAATGGCAATATTTCAAGTACGCATTTACATCAGACTTAAGTATGAGCAATATCAAAGAAATAATTTGCATGGTAGTCATCAACATTTTTCTTTTTCCTTCCAAAAATGTGTTGATTGCTGCAGCTTCAAGCTTCTCTCACTGAACTCCATTCAGGTGCATAAAATACAAATAAGCGAAAGAACAAACCTGAACAACCTGTCACACAAGAGTTGACTCAGCCGCTGGGTGCAGAAAGGAACAAGTTCTTGATCACAATCCACAGCATGATCATAGACTAAATTCATCCATCAAAGCCCCAAGTTCCACACTATCTCTTCCTCTCTGCCAATAAGGAAAATATTACCACCACCATCCCCCAACCCCCACCCCCCCACCCCCCACCCCAACTCCAAAACATCATTTTTCACCTAAACAACCAAAAAATCACTTCAAAATCAGTATTCCCCCAAAAATCAAATCTCAATCAAGGAAGAAATTAACATGAAAAATAATTATATAAATAAAATGAGGAAAATGCATATGCATTAGTTGTAAATTTTACACAACGATTCAAGAAGAGAATGCAAACTCCACGCATGATGTTGAGCTGCTTGAGAGTGCGAAAATAATGAAGAAAAAGAAGTACCATGATATGCCTGAAGAGCATTTAACAACTAAAATAAAGGAATTTTTAGAGGGTGGTAAGCATTTCATTGTCATGGATGATGTGTGGACCACAAGACTAGAAATATTTGAAAAATGTTTTTCGAAATAACATGAGAGGGAGTAGAATCTCTTAATAACTAGGCATGAGAATGTAGCTATATATGCAGATTCTGCTTGTAAGTCACACACTCTTTAAAATTTTAAAGAAATGATGAAAGTTGGGAGTTACTAGAAGAAGGTTCTTCTCAAGGGAAGTTGTCCTTTTGAGCTAAAACAGGGCAGAAACATATAGCTATAAAGTGCAATGGATTACCACTTGCAATAGCAATTGTTGCTAGTGTATTGGACAAAGACACCAACAATCACTACTTCTGCCAGTGGGAGTCCACCGCATTTTATAGCAATGCATTCCCCGTCCCTTTCGAGCTCAATAAAGCAACTTTCTTTGATAAAACCCTTCCTCTTCAGTAACTCCCAACTGTCCTCATTTCTTACAAATTTTGAAGGGTGCAGTTTACGAGAAGGTATCTGCGTATAGCTGCATGCCCATGCTAAGATGTGAAGAGGACTCTATTGCTTCCCATTTTATTGGAGAAAACAAATTTCAAGTAATTCCTATCTTGCTTGGTCTACACATCATCCACAACAACAAAATACTTCCAACCTTTGAAGCCTCCTTTATTAGCTATCTGTGCTATTCAAACACATCATGATATTCTTTGTTCTTCTTGGTAATGTTACTCTCAAGATGTTGATTAATTTCTGCCCTTGAAACATACATTCAAAGGTGAGTTCACAACAATCCTTTATAGTTTTTGCCCCTCTATCAAACCCCATCACATCATCCCTTCCTTCCACCACACAACAGGAGCCCTGTTAACAAATTCAAGAAAATTAAGTCGAGGAAAAATGAAAGATTGACTTCAAAATGGAACAATTTCTTTAAGATATTACCGTTATCCACACAATAAAAATCAAAATGAAGTTAATAATAGGAAGATTCACTAGAAAAATCCCTTTGAACTTTATGTAATGATTATAAACTACTTTAAAACTTTATCTTATGCTTATCAACATTTTTTTGAGCATGATTACTAGGCTTTATGTCAATCTGTTAATTACAGATAGTTTCAAAATCCATACTTGAATCATATCCAGCAACTATAAACAAAAACAAAAACCAAAAAAAAAAAAAAAAAGAAGCTAAAAGGGTAATATGATAGCACTGAAGATAACAAGATATCATGGTAGGATATTTGAAGCTAGAGGAAAATGAGTAATTGGAAATAAATTACATGAATAAATAAAATAAATTAAAATAATAAAACACACAAATTTCACACTCATTACTAGTGAACTAACAACCACGTTTTGAAACTAATAATCTAATTAAAATTCCATTTTGAGCTGTTCAGAGTATAAATTCCAGATTGACATAAAAGATCGATTATTGAGCCATTGAGGTACTTGAATCTTGTGATACCTTTCTTTGGAGGGACTTAGGGTTTAAGTCCGATTGGCGTAACGCTAGCACTGTGCTCTCTTCTAATCTTGTGCATCATTCCCGATTGGCCTCGATCTGCATCGGCCTTTGACTAATAAGCAACTTCGCGGCGGAGAAAATGAAATATTGATGAATAAAAACTGTAAATTTTGAGGATGAAACTTGAGAGGCTGAGAGAGAGAGAGAGTTAAGAGATTTGTGTTGACTGCGGACCCTAAAAGGCTAAACCCGCCCCATTTTTATTTATTTATTTATTTGTTAATATGGGTGTAGATACCACTTTAGAGCAATCATAATAGGATGATTTTCAATGATTTTTGTAATTTTTTTGTCCGACAAAAGATTAGTTTTTTTTTTATTTTTTCTTTTGTGGGGCTTGTAGGAGAAAGAAAGTGGAAAAGAACGGTACAATTCTGTGTGTTAACGGCATAGACAGCGCCCAGGGACGGAGGCAAGGGGGGGCAGCTGCCCCCCTCACCCCACCCCCACCCCTACCCTATATATAGCCTTTATATATATATATATATATATATATATATATATATATATATATATGTATGTATATACAGTACATTCAGTGGCGGACTCAGGAATTTTTTTCAGTGGGGGCAAAATATTAAAGCAAAATTGATAATTAGAAAAAAAAAACACTTAAAAAGTATAGTCATAAATAATGTTGAATATAAGAAAATTATAAAACACATCAAAAAATTATAAAAAATATTCATAACAAAATATGAACATAATCAATTTGATAAAATAATTTGAATAAAAGATCCATTATAAATTACACATCTCATCTCATTATATTAATATATAAAGGCTAAAGTGTCATCCCGCACCCTGAACCATTTGTGATTATTCATCCCGCACCATGAACTGTAAAAAGTGATATTTCGAGCCATCAACCAAATTTTTTTTTTCACCTAGCACTTTTTATAGGTTGTCCGGTAATAACGATGACATGGCACCGGTTTCAACTGCTGATGTGGCCTTTTTATCTAGTCAACGAGTTGTTAGTGTCATCCCGCACCCTGAACCATTTGTGATTATTCATCCCGCACCATGAACTGTAAAAAGTGATATTTCGAGCCATCAACTAATTATTTTTTTTCACCTAGCACTTTTTATAGGTTGTCCGGTAATAACGATGACAAAGATGGAAGGTAGGCATTGGACGAATTTATATTTCAATTTTTCTATTTCTTTTGTACATTTTCCCAATTTCTCCATATTTTTCTTATTTTTGTTTCTTGATTTTTCAGTATTTTTTATTTTTCAAAGATGTTTGTAAACTGCCAATGTAATGTTTGTAAAACTGCAAGTGGTAAATTGCCAATGGTAACATGCCAATGTATTCCATTAAACATAGACATTGATAACGCAGTCAAACTGCTAGTGGTAAACTGCCAATGCAGTCAAAATTGAAATATAAATTCGTCCAATGCCTACCTTCCATCTTTGTCATCGTTATTACCGGACAACCTATAAAAAGTGCTAGGTGAAAAAAAAATAATTAGTTGATGGCTCGAAATATCACTTTTTACAGTTCATGGTGCGGGATGAATAATCACAAATGGTTCAGGGTGCGGGATGACACTAACAACTCGTTGACTAGATAAAAAGGCCACATCAGCAGTTGAAACCGGTGCCATGTCATCGTTATTACCGGACAACCTATAAAAAATGCTAGGTGAAAAAAAAAATTTTGGTTGATGGCTCGAAATATCACTTTTTACAGTTCATGGTGCGGGATGAATAATCACAAATGGTTCAGGGTGCGGGATGACACTTTAGCCATATATAAATGAAAAGAGAAATATTAAAAGCAAATAGAGGGAATCAAACCCTAGCCTGCGTTTAGACTGACCACGCGCTCAACCATCTATGCTAAACCATATTCTATTTACATTTCTCTATTTTTTAATACTTATACTAAAACTTGTACTATATATACACATATACATACAAGGGTTATATAAGGGGTGGGGGTGGGGTGAGTGGGGACAGCTGACCCCACTGCCCCCACTGTAGGTCCGCCCCTGAGTACATTATTAGTATAACTATTACAGAACAGATTATGTACTCAAAAGCTTCAGTAGACAAGGTGGTAAGAGGTGTGTTTGAATTTAGAAATGACTTGGGTTTGAGTCTTTGCGATAGCACGGTCAAAATCTTCTACATCTTTGCTTCAACACAATTAAATTTTGGCATCCATACATATATATTAATAATGAGATGTCTTTCTTTTTTATAATAATAATGATGTTATAAATAATATACTTATTGTGGACATTATTATTCATGTTGTAACAGTCATATTGTAATTGATGTACTTATTCATATTTAGTACATATTTATGCTTACCTTTTATATATATATATATATATATATATATATATATATATATATATATTGCCATAAGAATGAATAAGACATGGGCATTCTCTCTCCATTCTTGGTCTCCCTTCTTTTCCGATTCTTGTCTTCTTTTTATTACAACACGTTATCAGACTTTGCTCTACATTCCGTGAACCCTAAATTTTCAATCTTGTAAAATTTGCGAAAATATGGCGACGAATCAATTCATCTGATACTGAGTCTTCGTAATCAACGCTGCACTGCGGCTCTTCAGGGAGCGACGAAGACAAAGGACGGCAACAATGGCGACTTCCGTCGACAATCTTCCCTCTACCGTCGTCATCGCCACCGCATCCAACGGTGCGACCACCATCAACGCTACGCGCCGGCAACAACCACTAAGGTCGCAGATAGGAGGCAGTATTCGTCGGCGGAGCAATTCCTGGGGATCCAGCCAGTTGATCAAGGATTGGATGTTGGGATAGATGAGCGACGGTTTGCGATGGTGAATTCCCGCCGAAGACACGTTCGCGTTACACCTCTTCTGGAGGCGATTGACCCGTCTCCATGTCCGCCATGGGATCAGTCGGCGATCTAGACCATATCGACCGCCGTGCCGCGCAAGAGGAGTTTTATTTGCTACCGGCGATCAGGTTTTTGTAGTCCCGAGACCAGATCAGGCCTTCTCCCCGTGCTTCCGATCGGTCACGCCCCAGGAGGCGTCGCGGCCCATCGACCGTCGGCGGCTAGTCAGTCGTTGTCCAGGTTTCATCCCCTCATCTTATAATGCAATTCAATTTCCCTAAGATGATTTCTTTATTTCTTTGATAGTTCATCTTCATGAGTTTGGCTGGTTTTCACCGCAAAGTGAATTGCATGTAATAATGTTGCTCATTGCAATATATGCTGGTATGTTTTCCTCATTCTTACTGAACACTGACTTGGTTACATGATGTTATGTGGGCTGCTATGGGGAGGCCTGTTCTGGTGTGAAATCACAATAATTTCTCTATAGCTTAAGGTTTTGCTTTAAGATACTTGTGCATATATTTTTTTTTTGCATATGTTGGAATGCGTATGGAAATGTATGCCTTGCTGGCTTGCTGTTTTCTATTTCCCGAAGGCTGAGCTTAAATTAGATTAAAACTGCTCCATCATCTATGCGACTATGCCTACTTGATTGTTTATGCACTTCATGGTATTGCCTTGAATTATGTCAATAAATTATTATTATTATTAGGCAATACAATCATATTCACTACAAGAAAAATCATGAATCGCGACAGAAACATTGCGACAGGACGTAATCTGTTGTCAATTCATGACGGTTTTTGCGACGGAACGTGTTTCGTCGCGGATTTTGCGTCGGAAATGGTGACGGAATGCAATTCCATAGCGATTTTTGGCGCAAAGTAGAAAAAAACATGGGAAATTTTGGCGCCCACATTTTGGTGACGGATTTCGCGACAGAATTAACTTCTGTCACCACAATAGCGACGGAAAAAGCAACGGTCGATGGTTCCGTCGCGGTTTTGCTACAGAATCGGCGATGAGAATAAATTCCGTTGCGACATTTGGTTTAAAGTGAAAAATATTCCCATGTAATCTTTGCACCAAGGGGTTGGCGACAGAGGTTGATGACGGAATTTGCGGCGATAATTTTTCCGTCGGGAAAATATATAAATTTTGAAGTAAAGTTTAGTTTTACTACAAAATTGGACCACCGAATCAATTTCGTCGCCAATATGTTGACACGTTGGCAACAGAAAATGCGACGCCCTATATGTCTGTCACGCTATGGCGATGGAATCAACAACAGAATTTAATTCTATTGCGATGTTTGGCGCAATGATAGATTTGACGTTTGAGGTTGGCGATGGAACTTACAATGATCATTCTTTTTGTCACTAAAATATTTAATTTTTTAAGTAAATTAAAATTTATTTTCGCTATAGAATGCGACGACAGAAGCAATTCCGTTGCCAATATGTTGACACATTGGCGATAGAAAATGTGACGCCTTATCATTTGTGTGTTGTCTTTTACCGCACTTTGAATACACAACACTTCAAAGTTGCCTTTGTGCGTTTTTTAAAATAGTTTTATTTATTCATTGTCGTTTGTGTGTTGTGTTTTACCGCACTTTAAAGCTTAAAATAATGATAATGATTTATAGTTGTAATGATTTATATTAATAATAAAATAATGATTTATGCTCAAAATATCATAAAATAATTAAAATTATATTAAAGAATGAATTGTACTATAAATAATGGTAACGATTCACAATTTTAAGGATTTATGCTCAATATATTACGAACTATATTAATCCATACAAATTTAATACTTAAATTTTTTTCATTTGTACATGCAGTTTCCTTATTTGTATTAATAAAATAAGAAATATAATTAAAGAAAAAAATATAAAATTAGCAAAATATGTGTTCATCAATATTTAGAATTTTTTTAAAAAAAATACATACAACATACATATACTTAAGCACTATATTAATCATACAAAATTTAAATGCTAATTTTTAGATTTCTAAATGTAATTATTTTAATTATAAATCTATCAATATCTATCTACTACTAATAAATATAAAATCATTCTTCCAAAAGGTTGAACCCCAACCCTAAGGGCCCCCCACACTCCGACCCAACAGAGCATTTGGGAGAATGTAAATCATGGTAACTCAATTGAACATGAACCACAGAGGCTAGACATGTGATCACTGAGCACAAGGAACCCCGGCCCCATCACTGTCGCTGGTGAGACTCGATCCCTGGTCATTCTTCCAAAGTTTCACCTCTGTGACTAGTTT